TTGTTATTTTTAGTTTTTCTGAGAGTTTTATAAATGAAATTGCATATGCATTATTGCAAAGTTGAAGTTTAAACGATAGATAATTTTGCAGCATCTATACATATCCTAATCAATCAGTAAAAGATATAAAATTAAATATGTGTGAGCATTGTTCATCTATTTCTTTAACAATTTTTTGTGTGTTTTTATGCTTGGATATATGAGCACTGCTTTGCAGTTTCTCTGATAAATTTTTTGGTTGATTTGCTTGCAATTGTCTTCTTCTCAATGTAGAGTGGAATTTTGAGAGAATTGTTGAGTACAACATTCTTTTTAAGTCTTTCTGAGACATTTATAAATGAAATTGCATATTCTATGATGTAAAATTAATTTTTGCATGATAGATAAGTTATCAACATCTTTATCTATCTTGACCGACCAGTTGAAGCTATAGAATTAAATACATATGAGCATTGTTTATTTGTTTCTTTCAGAATTTTTTTTTCATAGCTATATGAGCATTGTTTTGCAGTTTCATTGAAAAAATTTATGTGTCGAATTGCTTTATCTTGTCTCTTCTTTACTGTAGAGCAACATCTAGAAGAGAGAATGTTGAGCATTCTTTCTTTTTTCTAGTTTTTGTTAGACTTTTATAAATGGAATTGTATATATTCTATTGTAAAGTTGAAATTTGCATCTTAAATAAGTTAGCTGCATCTTTATCTGTTCTGATCAACCAGTAGAAGCAATGAAAAGAAATATACATGAGCATTGTTAATCTTTTTATTTCAATTTTTTTTTCATAACTATATGAGCACTGTTTTACAATTTTTCTAAAAAATTTTGTTGGTCAAATTGCTTGCACTTGCTTCCTCGTCAGTATAGAGTAACATTTTGGGAAGGGAATGTTGAGTAATCTTTCCTTTTTATAGTTTTTTGGAGACTTATATAAATGAAATTGCATACACTTTGTTGACATAGTTGAAGTCGCATATAGATAAGTTGACAGCATCTTCACCATCCTGATTACCCAGTAGAACCTATGGAATGAAATATAAATGAGCATTGTTAATCTGTTTATTTTAGAATTTTTTGTATGTCTCTTCTGCATAGATATATGAACACTGTTTTACAGTTTCTCTGAGAAATTTTGTTGGTCGGTTGAGCACTATTTCTTTTTTTTAGTTTTAATATTTTTTTATGGAATAAAATAAATATGGTTATGTTTTGATGCAAAGATGAAGTTTACATGAGATATAAGTTAGCAACATTCATCCTTAATCTGATCAACTAGTAGAAGTAGAAGTTGTGAAATGAAATAAATATGAGCATTGTTCATTTATTTCTTTCAGAATTTTATATATACTTATCATGCAAACGCATTTTTTGAGGTTATATGTCGGATAAAATATCACCCACCATTTGTCAATTTTAAATTGATGTGGATATTTTTTCACAGATACTACCTGTTGCTAGAGAAAACGTTCAAGTTCTTAGTCGATTTGGAAAATGGTGATTATGGATAGTCTTTTTGGTTGAGAGATCTCACCGAGCTCTAGCTATTCGCTCGAAGAACAAATTTGGCTAGCGTGATAGAAGCAAAAAATTGATTATTGGAATCTTATCTGGCATGTAATCTTCAGGTTTGAATTGATGCATTCATATGCAGAATAAACACATAACAAAATTCAGAAAAAAATATATGAATGATGCTCATATATTTTATTCCATAACTTTTACTGGTTGATCAGGATAAGTATAGATGTTGCTAACTTATCTATCTTATAATCTTCAACTTCGCACAAAACATATGCAATTCCATTTATAAAAATCTCAGAGAAAGTGAAAGGAAATCAGTGTTTAACTTTCTTCCCTTAAATTTTTACTCTACACTAAGGATGAGAGGCAAGAGCAAGCAAATCGAGTAACAAAATTTCTCAAAGAAACTGTAAAGCAGTGCTCATATATTTATCCATGTTGACATATGTTGAGGTGGAGTAGAAGATATTAACTTATCAAGCATGATTCTCGAGATTTATATCATTTTATTACTTTGGATGGTTTGTGGACCCGTTGGTTGCCTGGTTTCTGTTTACAGTGATGCTTTCAAAGTGTGATTTGGTGGGCACATTTCACATTTCTTGTGTAATATTTAGTAGAGCGATGATAAAACAAAAACATAACAAAAGACTCAAACGATTACAAAATATGAATATTAAAAAAAACGATCATACTAGTTTGACACGGATACTTCCTGGTCTTTATGTCTGGAGAACAAAACTGATGATCCTTGATGAAAACATTTTTTATATCTATTTTGATTTTGAGCTCTACTTTAATTCTTTTTGTCATATTTTTATTTTCTCTTAATGTATTGTTGTTTTACATGCTAAATTATGTTGATTTATTTTTTTTTATTTAGATATCAGCTAGGTAAACAAAAAGGTGGGATATCGACTACTTGAGATAGGAAGCAGATAATTTTTTGTGATTTATGCTTGAGGAAGGTAAAAAAAGCCAATAGACCAAACACACATTTCAATAAGGAAGGTTGAAAAAATATAACGGAACTCTTTCAAGAGAGAACTAGTAGACTATATGACAAAACTCAGCAGAAAAATAAACGATATCAACCTAAGAAGGACTAGAAGTTGTGGAAGAAGCTAAAAAGACGGGCCACTGATTTAGGATGAGACTCCATTAGGAAAATAGTTGATATATTTTAGAAGTGGTGACAAGAGAGTGGTGACAAGAGAAAATTTCAGTGAGTAGAAAATCTTACATTTAATATCACTTACATTAAAATTTTGTTTCAAGTTTATCAATTGTAGGATTTACCAAATACAATAAAATTTAGACTTGCTGACATTGACCCGGGGTTTGAGGAGAAGCTAGATACTATGTTCCTCAGTATTGTAGCAACAAGTGACAATGTTTGGGCAACAACAAAAGAGCATATCCCTAATTTGGATGAGCTTGAATGTGCTCACTCCAATGAGGTCTATGAGGAACAACCAGGTGAAAGAGATAATGTGGAGTCCAGTCACTCCAAGCGACCTGCACCCTCAACACAAAAAGGGAAAAAGAAAACTAAAGTTAGGGCAGCTCATTTGTCCCAACAAATATTACAGTTGGTGAAAAACTGAACCAAAATCGCTTCAAGTGCTCGTACTGCTCTACATGCATACCCAACAATGACAGATGTTGTCAAGCTACTTGACTCAATTCCTGGAAATTTTTATGACATGCACCTCTACTTATTTGTCGTAAAACATCTTGAGGATCAAAACAAGCGGAGGCTTCCTTCACGCTGCTCCCTAAACGAAAGATTCCTTACCTCCGTTATTTTTTAGAGAGTCAGACTACTTAAATGACATGCACCTCTGTTTTTTTACTTGTTGCTTCTTAAATCACAAAGTGACTATTTGTAGTATTTGACATTTCTATTAGAAACTATGACTATTGTGTACTATTTCTGACGTTATATTATTTGTAGATTTCAGTAGTTAAGCCGCTTTCATTGCGCACAAGTTGCCACTATGTCAGATGTTATCAAGCTACTTGACTCAAGTTAAGCTAAGAAGACGAAGAGCTTCAAGTGAAAAGGCTAGGGCACACGAGTTTAGCGAGGGCGCATTAAGAATTTTTTAGAACGGGAACACGGAATGCAGCTACAAAACCACGGCCCACAATATTATTAGATTCCAAACCGTGGTTCGAACCGCGGTATCAAACCGCACGAATCAAACGGCTAATTATGCTGGTTTGTTTCTAAATTTGGTTTGGAAAGTTGAAATAAATGCATTCTAAGTTTCACAAATCAAGAGTGTGAAAATCGGGTTCTTATGCTCGATATGATAGTAGATGAAGACAAATAAACTTAAAATATGAAGTTACATGGAGCAAATGTGTAAGGGTCAAGGGCATTAGTATTATATTAAGAAATCACATTAGTGATTTTTTATTTCTTTTATAATTACGTGACTAATCTTCACTTCCATAATGATTTGAACAATCTCACCCTCGAATGAAAAACATCAAGAGCCTTCATTCCCCTTTGAAAAAAAATTTTAAAACTATTAAGTATAAATAAATCAAAATCCTAACAAATCAAGTAGTGTTTACATTGAAATACATTGAAATCACTTGGTTTTGATTTTTTTTTTTTTACCGTGACAGAAGTTGTCAATGGTCATTAAAGCCAAAAACCACATTCGTGACTCAATCCAAGTTGACCAACTAGCCTAATACCAATCATTTGGAAGATGAAATATGGACAATATAATATTTTCATAAAAACCTATCAACCAATAAGTTTATGCCAACAGATAGGAGGCACAACTGATATATCACAAATTTAACTCTTATTTCAAATTCAATGCATTCCTACTTTTTCACCCCAATAAAGATCTCTACAAAATAAAGCATGTGCTAAGAAAATTCTCAAACTCCATCCAATTTGGTTTAAATTTTGGATAGTTAATGTGAATTTTCTCAACCATATGGCATTAATTAGATTGTACAGTTTGCTAGGAAAAATTTTGTTGTGCACTGGTGCTATTTCATGCTTCTGTAATCCATTAATTTCTGTTAGGAAATGTTTATTTGTATAAGCTACAAGATTTTAGGTTATAAATTGTACTTCTAAATATTAATATATTGCCCAATCCTTTTTTTATTGATTCTTAATCCATTTGGTCGTTTGTAGATCAAAAATATATTTTAGAAAGTGCTGATTTATTTTTTAGTCATTTTGTATGTGAAAATGAAAATATCCTTTTTGAGAAATTTTAATAATACTGCTTGTACGGCTCAAAATTCATACTGATTTCTGACCACATCCAGCCAATTAATAGAACTGATAAACTCATCCTTTCTCAAAAGCGTGTTTTCTTTCTGACTTCAACAAATCAAATGAGCCCTTAAATTGGTCCAACATCGATTTGTTAACATAAACTTAACGCGAGAGAAAGAGAGAAAGGGAGAGAGACCGAGAGAGAGAGAGAGAGAGCTATACATACCTTAGTTTTAAGAGTAGAGCCATCGGCCAGATGCAATAGCTTGAAATTGCCAACCTTCTCTATGTAAACAACCTTTGACGAGAATCTTATCGTTTCAGGTGGTAGATCCTTTGATAATGCCTCCAACAAAAGGTTTCTCTTCAATGAACGGGCTTCAAACTTCCTGCACAACGAATATAATATATATATATATATATATATATATATATATATATATAGATATAGATATGTTCTACATTAATACATTTTCGCATGCAATTTTTATATAAATGGACGTTTGTTATAGAAACGAACCGCTGCTCATGTCCAGGAAATTCTTGTTCTGTTATTACTTCTCCAGTTGTCGCAGAATTCATAACTAGCCTGCATAAAAATAAAATCTAGTAGGGAGCAAAGAACATGCCAAGTAAAACAAGATTAATGCTTCCACAAACCCAGCTATTTTCGGATGTTTCAGCATAGGTTTGATAAGTACTCATTGGAACTCAGTGTCACAACCCGGCCTGATAGCTTAGAATTAACTAAGTCGGAAACTGGGTCAGATGGTATTATTATTTCTTTAAATCATACAATAAACCATCATAACTTCCAATAATAAAAAGAGCCACTAAAAAACCTTTAGGTACACTAATTGAAAAATTAATTCATCCAAAGAAATAATATAGTTTGAAAAATAAAAGAAAATCACAATCCAACTAACAACAATACAATATCAATCTGAAATAAACAGTACACGGAATTAGAACTATGACAAACAACATATTACAATATATCAATAGTCATCTTCCTGTAAACTAAGTCCCTCCTTTCAATCATAACAATATAGTGTTGCCTAAAAGAAACAATTAATTTCAACAATAAATTTTTTACTTGATGAGCAATTACAATTTTATTATGTATTAAATTAATATGCAAATGCTATCCTAAATGCACAAAAAAATGTTCTTTAGTAATTAATCAAATAGTACACTTTCATTTTAAATTAACCCTTCATGTTTCAATTTAAGTATATATCATTTTAATATTCTCCCTTCATTTAAAAAATCATATCAAGATTATCGTCGCATTCGAAAGTATCTTAAGAAAGTTGTACCTGTAGGTAACAACAAAAGTTTGTGCTCGTAGATATCCTTAAAATTTTACACTCAAAATTACATATTTATTATTTCCATTTTCTTTTTCGTGCACGGGTAAAATAGCATCCCAAGGTAGTACTATAAAGGGATAAATCCTTATTGACTTAAACTTTTACTTATCATTTCATATACATTTAAGATCATTTAAATGTACTTTTATATGTTAATATTTTCTTTTTATTTGTGAGACATCATTCAAACATTCAAAATGCAAATAATAAATGATACATTTATTTTTAAAATATTATTGTATGTTCATTTTTTATCAACTTGAAATATAACTTCTAAATAAATCAAATCCAATACCAAATAATAAAATAATTAATCACCTTGAGCTTAAGAAATGATTCTATCAAATACTTTAACTTAATTTATTAAACTGGATTCATGGAATTAATTTATAACATAACGCTTAATATCTATGACTTTGATTGCATTTAAAGATTAACTTAAAAAGCAAAACCCTAACTTATTGCCCATTTGGGGCGATTAAAATTGTGGGCGGCATTTTCAAAATGCCGCCATCCCGTTTGGTTAACATGTTCGCAAGGATTTTATCTAAACGCGGGTTTCAATTATTTAATAAACGGTGTCGCAGAATCGACCACATGGCATGAGTTGAGTTTTCATGTTTTACCCCTCTGCCCTCGACACGACCCCTACGGAGGATCTCCCTCGCTCTCGCCTCCCTCACTTTCGCGTCTCTCGCACTCTCCTCCCTCGATCTCTCTCGTCCACACTCGATAATCTCCTGTCACTCTCGCCTTCCTCTTCCTCCCTTCTACAGTGTGTGGTAGTTATTCATGTGGTAATTTTGCTTTCACCATGCAAATTTTGGGTTTCTTCGTGAGAAATTGGGTTTTTAATTTGTTTAGGATTTACAAAGAATTTGATTTATTTTTTAGCATTGTTATAGTGATTTGTTTGTCTATGGAGGGAGTGTCACGAGGTGTGCTTGTTCTGGAGCATTGGAGCATTTGTTCTGTGTGGGTTGATGGTAGATGTGAGTTGTGAGCTGTGCTTATGGTGGTTGTGATGGGTTGGGTCTGTGTTCTGGTGTACTTGGGTGTATGGGTTGGGGGTGGATGTGAGCTATGCTTGTGTGTGGTGGCTGTGAGAGGTGTTTATGGTGGTTGCAGTGACTTGGGTGTGTGTTCTAGTGGCCTTGGGTGTGTGTTCTAGTGGCCTTGGGTGTGTGGGTTGGTGGTGAATGTGAGTTTTGCTTGTGTGTGGTGGTTGTGAGAGGTGTTTATAGTGGCTACGATGACTTGGGTGTTTGTTCTGATGGCCTTGGGTGTGTGGGTTTGTGGTGGATGTGAGTTGTTCTTGTGTATGGTGGAGCTGGCTATGGTGGCTGTTTATGCTGGCTATGGTGGCTTGGGGTGTGTGTTATGGTGGCTTGGGGTGTGTGTTATGGTGGCCTTGGGTGTGTGGGTTGGTGGTGGATGTGAGTTGTGCTTGTGTGTTGTGGTTATGAGAGGTTTATTATTTGTGCACTTGTCCAGAAGCACTATTATTGAACATTACATATTATTTTTTTCTCTTTACATATAGAATTGGGGTAAGATATGTAAGTCATGTGATGCTTCATAAAACTAGTTTTATGCTCTTGCAGAATAGTGAATTTGAGGAACTTTCAATTTCTTGGAAAGTTGATATTGGGGTTATTTCTTTTATGTTCTTTATTTCATGTGAATGTGTGGGCTTTCTCCAAGCTCTTCTATTTTGTGCTTTTGTTTATTTATTTGTCAATCTGTAATGGTATTTAATTTGAATTTTTTTATTCTCATTCTATAATGGTCTAACATGTTGAGCTTGTTATATGTTAAGTTATTTTATTTAACTGTCAAAACTTCAATTAGTTTCAATATGGCTAAGATGAAAGAAGAGGGTCCGTCAGCAATGTGGGATAAGGAAGTAACAAACATTCTTTTGCGATCTTTGCATTAAATAGATTGAGGTTGGAAATAGACTTATCACATATTTTAACAAGTAAGGTTGGCAAATATTTCAAAGAGGTTCCAAGAATTGATTGGAAGAGGGTATGGTGAGCTAAAATTCAAGCAAAAATTGCTAATGACTCGCATTACATGTTATTTTTCAAGATAAGTTTCATTAGCGCATTATGTTTACTTCAGAATGTAAATAGTGTGTTGGGATTGACATCTCTAATTTAAACATAACTATATTGGGGCAATTGACGGTACGCACGTGGATGCCCAACTACCCAGGCATGAAAAGGTGACGTACATTGGTCGGTGTGGTTCAGCTACCCAAGATGTGATGGTCGTATGTGACTTCTACATGTGCTTCACATTTATGATGGTCGGATGGGAAGGGAGTGCACAAGACAGCCGTCTTTTGCCTATACAACAAGGAATAGTAGACAGTGTTTCCCTCACCCACCTCTAGGCTAGTTTAGATTTTCTAATCTATTAGCTTTCATTATCAATAGACACCAATAGTGTCTTTCGTAACAGGTAAATATAATTTGTGGATGTTGAATATCTCTTATAGAAGGGAAATCTAAAGTCATATCCAGACACCAAATACCACATTCCTAATTTTGAGAGACAAAGTGGAGTCACCCATGGCAGAAAAGTAATGTTCAACAAACATCACTCTTCCTTAAGCGAGGTGATTGAAAAAACATTTGAGGTTTTGAAGAAGAAATGGGTCATCTTACGCGATATGTTGACATACTCATTTCCTAAACAGGTACATATTGTGGTGGACACCAAGACGCTCCTCAATTTCATTAGACGATATCCCTCTTGATTAAATACAGACTTCAGTATGACTGACGATGACTAGATACATATCCCGTCTGAAACATTCAAATTCCAAGTTGGGCGGTCAATACCAGAGGTTGTGATGGAGTGGCATGAATCTGACACCCTGGATGGCGAAGGTGCAGCGGAGATGGCTACTATGAGGGAGCGTATCACAAATGCTATATGCAACTGTTGATTGACCCAATCTTCAATCTTGAATGGACTTGTCTTGTTAATTTAAGAACTTTTATGTTTATTGTGTCTCAATTGTATCACAGATATTTTTGGATTTTAACCTTTCATGTGATTGTTTTTTCTTTATTTTATGTTTGATGCTTTTATGTTTTTTTTATTATGGGCTTGTGGGATATATGATGAGACTTTGGAACTTATGGGTTTTTCTAGATTGGCTATTGCTCGATGTTGGTTAGTGTTACATGTGAAATCTCAATGAAGGCAACGAAGTAGATTTCTTCTTGTCATGTTTTTGGATGGCTTTTTTTTTTGTGTATATGCACAATGAAGGCGACCAAATGCCTCTGTTCTTTTCGGAGCAAAGAGTTTTTAGGCTACTCTAAATGACCTTTTTTGGTGATATGCACATGTGACACATGAGTATGTGGGCTAAATACAACTAAGAACTCATTTCTTTAGAATGTCAACTAGCGTATTGTATTGACAGATTAGTTGGTTGGTGTGGTTTGTTCTCTGAGTCCTCACACCTGCTATTTTTTTTAATTAGATTTTTGTTTCTTTATTCATTTCTGTTTCTTATTTTCAATTTTCACGTTTTTTTTTATCATCTAATTTTATGACTGACATGATCTCTTTTGAATTATTGTAGGAAGGAAGATGAGCTTCATATTTTCGGGGAACTCCGGACAAGTGCTATGCCCCTGTGGACAGCCGTCTTTGTTACTCACATCATGTCGGCCATATAGCTATGAGCGGCAGTTCTACAGGTGTCTGCGGTGGGCAGACGGTCCGGACAAGTGTGAGTTCTTCAAATAGGCAGACAATCCGGCTGATTCCACTGCCGATAGTGATCGGGGTTTAACGGTATCTCGGTTGGACAACGTTGCTTGGGGTTTGACGGTATGCCAACCAGACAGCATTGCTCGTGACATGCTTCTGCATTTTAAAATGAATATTATCAAACTTTTAATTATAATTTTAATATAATTTTTTTTTTGTTAGGTTTCTTGATACTCACTTTTAGGTGGGGCGTATATTCCTTTTTTTGTACTATTATGAAGTAATTTTTTTGGTTTTAAACTATCAAATGTATCGTCATTATAGCTTTGTTGTAAAGGACACAACTGTGCAGTGGCAGAATGATCATTTATTTAAAAACAATTACAAATTAGCTGTTTTATGAACTCACGAATCAAACAGCTAAACAGCTTATCCAGATAAGGGGCAGAATGGTCATTTATCCAAAAAAATATAGAAA